GCTTGAAAGAGTGATAATAATTTCTTTAATGTATACACATCATTCAATGAGAAAATGATTTTTTTGTATTCATTTCTTACTGATTATTGATTGATATAACCTAAATTTTGCATTTGAAATAAAACATGATTTTTATAAATTTATAAATAATCCTGAATCACTTTACATAAGGGAAATCAAATGAGCCACAAATACAAGTAACCTTTATAAATGGCATCAAGAGCGTCAAAAAGCCCTTATTTCGTTTCGTTGCCTAATGGGAAACATAAAACCATCGAGTTGATTGAAACGTACCCCCGAATTAATCTGGATCAACAATGGGCACGTGTCGTCACGTGACCGGGAGCTGGTCCCACGACAACCCGCTAGCAGGAATTGTATTCGCCCTGTGTTGTATAGAAACATAAAGGGAGTAGGCGGAGAAGAAAACTACTGCAACCAACGCTACCTTTCACTTAACAAAACACTTATCGAGATTCTTGCGGTTATTAATTTTCCCAGAAAATTTTACTTGCTAGGGATAGCCCTTCTCGTAAAACGTGCACGCTCTTAACCTACTATATAATATATTTGGGGCTTTTGAAGTGGTCATTTGTTTGGTTTTAGACATCAATACGGACGTATCATGAACAATTATATGTGTAATTGTAAAAATACATTTTCTCTTTAAAATTTTGAAGGTATTAGTGATAAGATATTTTGCAATGCTAATATGATGTTTCATGGAAACTCAATGTAAATTTTCAGACGCATAAATACATATTTAATGACATATTACTGGAGAATATAAACTGTTTTCGATTAACAAAGTTTATTTATACACAAGTTTCCGTAAACTTTTTTATTGTGGATTTTAAATCAATTTTATTTGGAGATGAATTTATGTCCTTGTTTTATTCAATTTGGATTTCGAGGAAGAGATTGCAGTTCTAGAAAAGGAGTTTCATAATAAACTTTACTGCTTATATTGACTCGTAGAAACAAATATATTATCCCCAAATTTAATATTACTTTCTTGCGTGTCAATTTAACAATTAAGCTATGCTTTTGAATGATGTAATGATTATGGATTAAAGAAAAGCTACATTGAAGATGATTAATGCCTAAGTAAACTGTTACTAAGAGAGCCGAAATGCAAAAGCTTTTAGCATTCATTATTGGAATCAATAAACTACTTCAGATGTGTCTATATTGGTCCAATAACAGAGATTACAAGCATGAATTCCCGAGTAAATTCACAATTCCGGGAATTTCGAGATCACATTATATAAATCCGGGATCGCGGGATTGATTTCGGGATTGGTTTGTAAATAAACTAAATACCAATTTTTTTTATATTTATTATTAAAATCCAAAAGTCAAATGATGACTTTAATTTTTAACGAAGCGTAGAACATTTGTTAAAAAATACAACTCTGTCAATCACCGCTTAAAGAAGCATAAAATTTTTTAAATATCGTATTTCTACACTTTTAAGATAATTCATTTATTGAAAAATTTCTTTTGTGTAATTGAATTGAAATGGCATCTTCGTACTTAGCATACATCTACTATTTGTGCCAAAAGTCAAGGCCCTTCACTTCAGAGATTGATATCTTCGCAACCGTTTGTTGAAAAAAATTACGAGGAAGAGGGAGTTTCGTCCAATCGCGAAAGATAATGCGTTACAGACTGAACGTCGCGCCTTTATTTTACCTCATAAAGAAATAAAGGTGCGACGTCCTGTCTAGAACACACACCAGCACCATCTTTTCCGATTGATGGAAACCGTTCCCCGCATGCTTTATTACTGTTTCTTTATAATTTATAATTCACGTAAATCGCTTTAAAAAAATAGAGATACCTTACTATGAAAAACTGATAACGGGATACCTTGACTTTTGGCACGTATAGTAGATTATTTCCTTAAAGACTTAAAAAATATTGGATTTAGTAAGTAAGAGGACTTTTTCCTTTAAACTTCTTATAACATGCATTCCTTAATGTGTGTCTTAATGTTAAGGATCGCCTTTGGAATCGATGCCAACCAGATTAGTTCATAAAGGAAAAAGGTTCTGTTTTCTCTATTTCGGATGCAGGATTGGAGTTACAGTTTTAGAATCAGAATTATTCATTTTCGCATGGAATTGTTCATAAATTCAGGTTTTATGTAAATTCTTTGTAGGAATGCCGTAGCGAAGAAATTTGCGTTTATACTTATTCGGATCAACCCAAGTCTTTCATAGCAAATATTTTTGGAAATCCTATTTGTCAACACGTGTCTGTATCAACTCTATCTACTCTATCATGTATGATATTATACATTTTAAAAATGGCTGCAAGGTATTGAGAAAATTGAACGAAACCATGATTAAACCTTACAGCTCTAGCAAAGTTTGTTGCCTAGGGATTTCTAAGGATGATTTATGTCATAGCAAGAATATATTTTTTCCGAGCTATGCTGCTGTCATCAATTAAATGTCACCTGGCTAAGATTTTTAAAGTTATATGGAGAAAAACGGTTTTCAACATTGTGGACTAAACATTGTTATTCAACATTTCTGGTTGAATTGTACTAATTTTCTCCCTAATACTGTCTGTTGGCCCTGCTCTAAACATCAACTTTTTTAAATAGCCACAGCAGTGTATATGCAACTGTGCAATAATCGCTCAATATTTATCAGTATCGTTCCCCATTTTGATGAAATTAGCTGTGAATCGGCACCAACAGATGTTATTACTTTTCTAAACGACTGCAGGTAGATTTTCTGTTGATCATTTGATGATTCACGATTTCTACCCTTTAGGTTCTATGCCTATTATTTTTTTTTGAGACATACTGGTAGATTCTACTGGACGGCTGATACATACTCCACATGATTTGATGCAGTGGCAGGATTCTCCTCTCCCATGTTCCTTAATCCAAAATTAACGCTGCCATACCGAAGGTAGTCACCAACTCAAATCTTTGACAGTTATTACAAATAGCTCGGCAATGGCGAAAGTCAAGAGTGCCCAAGTTCCAATTTGTTGTGGTACGGATTGGGATAGAGCTTGGTTCATCATCTCAAGATGAATAAACCCCGTCTCTTTGAAAAGTTAAACATTTGGTTAATTATCTGAAGTGTAACTAACAGACACCGATATGCTTCCTGAAAATGTCTTTCCCATCAACTATCTTAATTGGTGGTTGATCCCTCGTAACAAGTGAACAAAAGCGCTTATCTGTCTTTTTGATGGTATCTACTGAAACATCCTCACACCATAACATCTTTCCTATTAAGTCACGGAGCGTAATAGTCTGAGTTGATAACTCAACCAGAGTCTACTCCGGGCAGCTTTACGGGATCGTTGTTTCTCTGAGGTAACCTTGGGTTCCCAAGATGGAACCTTAGCCAGCTTGGATATATTGGCCACCTGCTCAAGGGTGGACCCTTTAACTCTTTGAGGTACTCCGGGTTACAATTTAACCCACTTAAAAATAGACCTTTATAGTATGCTTAGACAAAATTTAACCCACTTTGAAAAATGGTTGTAACTGTCACGTACATTTTTTTTCTTGTACCTCTAGGGTTATTTTTGTCGGGATATTTACGTACCGCAAAGAGTTAAAGAATAAGAGATGTTTGCAAAGCAAGGTATGGAAACGCCAATCAACTTTAAGTTGTACAAATCTTTTGGAAACTATAACAATCAATAACTAAGGGAATTCAAGTGCATAAAAGTCAAGGAAGTCACTTCGAACTGTAGATTTAATTTTTTTAATATTGTTTTTATTTTGTTAATTCGTTTCATTAAAGACCATTTTAAAATGTAGTGAACTGTAGTCTAATCATATATTATTTAAAACATGCGGTGTCTCAAAAAATACGAAATGAATTTGTATTTGCTGAATTAAAGCCAGAGATAGTAAAAATTCCAAAAAAATTTAATTTAAGTTATTAAATATTTTGGATCGATTTCAGCAGAACAATACATGTAAATTGCACACATTATCGGCTTATACGGAGCTGATTGGAAATCAACTATTAATACTTTGTATCCAGAACGTAAACAATACATATGTATTGCTTCTATTACACCTTTCATTTTTTATTATACTCGAGTAGGTTACAATTGGTAAAAAGCATAAATTTATTGAAGATTATTTAATAACTTATTACTCCTTTATTAGACGTAACACGATATAAATAAAGTGTAAACAAATCTCGGGATTCAGCAGTTGGGAATTGTTAATTAAACAATTTCTTCCAAATTAATCAAACTTCTGTAATCAATTTATTGTTTTATCATTGAACAATTTACGAAAAATGAATAGACGAAATTATTAATAAACAAATAGAATATTTGATAATAATAATAGATTTTTTCCTTGTAGCTTATTTGGGTAAATTCAAAATACCTTAGAGGTGGTTATACGATATTTAGAATTTCCAATTCTGTGTTATTTTTAATAACACAAAAGATTTTTGTGACTTCTAAAGAATCTTTAATTTTGATTCGTATAAATACATATTTAATTGCACATTGTAATGAATATATAAAATATTGTTGAATATGTACTAAAGTTTATTAACCGTAACTGCTGTACAATGGATTTTAAGTGCATATTCTTTGCTGTATTATTTACAAGATATAAACCTTCTTTTAGTTATTCAATTAGTCAATATGGTACGTATAGGTATATTTAATAACATAGGAATCTTAAAAGTTTTGTTTATTCATTTACAACATTTTTATTGAGTCTTTAATTTAAATTTTTATATAAACAAGTTGTATATGGTTTAGGATATGATCAAATAATTTCGGTTTGTAAGGATGCTAATTCCAAACTGAAATGATTTTCTAAAATAATAATATAATTTTTTTTGTTTGAATTGCAATTGTGTTATATAATTTTATATAATTTTCAGTCATTTTATTAGAAAATTTTAATTGAATAAACGCAAACCTTTTCTCCTCTCATGTTCAGAAATTAACCAATATTTGTAAACTTGTATTATTATTGAATCATTTTTTAGGTAGGGATGGAGTTAGTTCTCAAGACGCAAGAGAAATTGTAGCACTTCATAATGAAATAAGAAATAAAATAATGAGAGGAGAGGTTCCTGGTCAGCCAAGAGGTGTTGGATTAAATATTTTGGTACTTATATAAACTATACAAAGTAATCTATCAAATGAAAATCGTATCTCGTTTAATATGTCTAATTTTGATTTTATGTTTATTTTTGGTAATTTTACGTAATACGATCAAAATTATTCTGAACATTTGTATCTTCAGTGATTTCTGAAAAAAAATTACCAACATTAATGAACACCGTTGTTCAATAATTCCTAGCATTTATTATAGTCATTTATTGCATTAAGCTAAGTTACTATTCAGTAATTCTGCCTGGGTAGTTATGTAGTACAACCCAAGTAAGATATATCACTGTAGACCACTGATCTCTGGTGCTGTAAGTATCCTGTCAACTCTAGAAAAGGATGGTTGCGTGGTCCTCCTCTTTTGGATGTACATATCTTTAGTGTAGCTTTTATGACCACATATAAAATACACGCAACACTCTTAAGTTTTATATCCTTCGTGAAAATAGAAGCAAGACTAATTCGATTTTGCAGTACAACCAGAATATGCTTATTGAGGTTGCTGATGAAAAACACTACATGTATTCAAAATCTGGTTCACAATCCCTATCTGATCGGTGTAACTATCGACGATAGATAATTGAAACACTAAGCGCTTCTGAGATTAGAGCTGATCTTTCATTCAAGATATGTGTTAATATTTCCATGGTCAAAACCAGAAATATTTTAAAATCAACCATTGATAACTTTAAGGTTGCAATGGGAATCATCTTTTAAGGTATCTGTAATCGCAATAACATTTTTGTAACTGTTGAAATCTTCATTGTGTCTCTATTTGATTTGATTCTAGTTGTAATAAACTTGATTTGAGCAAACTAAATCATGGTTTGGTAAACCAGAAAGGTTGAAGTTTAACTAATGAAACACTTTTTATCTTAATTAGGTACTGCATTGGTACAAAATCAAATTCGATGAACCATAAATACCGATTAGTACAAAAATTAGTATTCTTTTATTAGGAAGCTTTCTTTTGAAACACGTATAGAGCAACATATTAACTCTAATTTGTATTATTTATAAGGAATGGGATAGTGACTTAGCGGAGGAAGCGCAAAGTTGGGCGGATAATTGTGTCTTTCAACATAATGATGTTTACGACAGTGAAGTATAATGAATTCCAAAATATATAATTTTATTTATAGTTTTATTAACAATTTAAGGTCGATTTCCAGTAGGACAAAATTTGTATATGTCACAAAGTACCAGTTCTTCTGGACCTGATTGGGAGGCAGCTATTGATGATTTATATGATGAGCATCGACTATACAGTTATGGTGAAGGTTTTTCATATTCTGCAGGACATTATACTCAAGTAACTTATATTTTGTACAAATAACTTTTTTTTTATTACAAATTCTTATTTTAGCTCGTTTGGGCAGACACAGAATATGTAGGATGTGGTTATTCGGCTTGCGACTCAGGATATTATACAAACCAAATTTATGTTTGTAATTATGGACCTGCGTAAGTTTGAAGACAAAAGAAATAATTTTTAAAATATAGCTTTATATTATTTTTGTAGCGGTAATGTAATGGGTGAATTTCCTTATAAGACAGCAGCATATCGAAAAAGAAAAAATTCACAAAAAAGGAAAAAGAATAGAAAGAATCGGTTAAATAGAAAAAGGAAAACAAATAAGAAATACTACGATTAACTTAGACGAACCTTACTTAATTCTTTCCCCTACTATAATTTTAACAATAATAATCTCTCTTAAATAGAAAATTCGATTCACCTTCATATCCAACCGATTTCATTGTTATTTCTTCCAATTACTATGTAACAACGCCAATAAGTTCCACCCGGTTGAACTAATTTCGCTGAAAAAACCCCATCCCCTTTACGTTCTTCTCGTCGATCTCGTTGAATTTACCAGATCTATCTATCCGTCCAGCTTTCTCTCCCCCAGCTTTATCCGCTATCCGTTACCGTTCCCTGCGTGGGCATTGTCCGCGTTTTCTGGGTAGGTTGAGATACAGGGGTGGATGCGGTACTTTGACAGATTACGCCCTACTAAATAATAGATTATTCTTCTCTGCCCTTTCGGGGGAGATTCATTTGGATGAAAAGCCAAAATCCAAAATCTTATGATGAAAAACATAACATGGTCTTATATAACAGATGTAATAAAGCTATAAAAATAAAGATTGTGTGTGTGATCACCTAATAATAATCAGAATATTAGTTCTATTTATGACATTTATTAATTTTATTTTAATTCATTAAGAAAATATAAATGTATCAAAGAAATTTCAAAAAAACCTTTTTTAAACTTTGATAAAAGTAGAAATGTTTTAATTATGGCCAGTTCTTGGTCGCGTGTATTGAATCTGTAAACTGAGTATTTTTCAGAGAATACCCAGCACGTGCCGGCCTCATTAGAGAGTACACGTGGACGTCCGTTGGTGGAAAATGCGTCAATCGTTGGTAGTTTGATTCATAGCAGGAAATTGTTCACCCTCTAAGCGTGTTTAAACGAGTGTTATAATTCAATTGATGTTTGGTTTTTAATATAAACACATAAAATACTCGTCATCTCCCTAATACTTATTAATATTCATGTATGCAAAAAAATACCATATTTTCTTAAAATATAAAAAGAGAAGAAAAGGTGATTATTCAATTTAGAGGTGATAAAAATTAAAAAAAGAGCTTATCGCAATATTATTTAAATGGACGGTCGTAGGAAAGGTGGATGAAAAAAGGTAGAGAAATTCCGAGTCTCCGGTGGCACGAATATGGTAACGTGTCTGGCGCGTCAGTGTAATCGAATGTTCCTAGACTAGGCACGGACAGGCCTTTGCTTTTACCCTGACAGTAATCTGATACACCGTCGGGCCCTGATCGATATAGATAGTGCTCAGTTTTACACCGCAACTTACTCGACGTCTAAAAGCTATTTTTTCTCCTAAATGGACGTCGCCAAGGCACAAGCTCAAATAAAAAGACACATAAAGATTCTCTTTGATATCTTTGCCCTTTAACATTTATAGTATTCATAAATATTTAGAAAATATTTTTCATCTTGAATCAATTTCAGTTATCTAATTATCATTAAAGTTTTATTTATCAATGAGTGACGAACCTCCTTACAACATTTTTAAAATATTTCATAATTATAACATCAAGGACGTACATTTCAGATAAATCTAATTAATTTTATTACTTAATTTGTGTAAAAATGAAATTAGAGCTGATTAAAAATTTGTGTTCTAAACTAAAAAAATTAACTGATTTAATGCGGTGAGAATAACTGATGACAAGAGGACATATAACATGATCTGTAAAATTATCTTAGCATGATCTTAGTCATGCAACCACACAGGACAATATTAATCTAAATTGACGGAATCCATATTGCAAGATAGCTATGTGATTAAATGATAAAAGTTTGTAAACAAATTCTTTATTTATATAGTACCGGTTTCGCTACAAAATCCATCATCAAATCAATCTACTGTCAAAATTGCGAATAAAAGAATATAAATCATTATTTAAGATCTAAAATAAATTAACAACAAACTATAGCCTTTACGAATAAGTTATACATCTATTTCGAATGCAAATCTAAAAATATTACAATTGTTTTTGGATATATACTCATGTAATCTGATCTCCAATTTTCTACAACAGAATATCTTCCGTTCATTCCATTCAAAGGATCTCCATCATCATTCCTAGAAGGTTCAGCTGACCAAGAAACTTAAACCAACATAGTCGTTAACAAACAAAATTGTCAAATTTAAGGATGTTTTTTCGCCCCAAAGAGAAACTGGTGTGAATTTTGGGCAGGCGACGCGATTAGTGTTCTTTTTAAAAAATGAGTCAAGCAATGCTGTAATCATCAATGGTGTGCGATATCGCAACATAATTTAGTTCTTATGGCCTCATCTGGACAGTATAGATACGGAAAACATGCCGCCCAGTTCCACTCGAGCTTTCCCACAATGTTGACCACATCATTTACGCCAGTTCTCCTTCGTTGGTTTTCATTTCGTTTGTGGTCCCTCAGGGTTACATCCAGCAGCCACGTTTCTTTGAGCTTTCTGGAAGTGGCAACCGTTACTGTTATAGTTTTGGAGCCCTATGTCATAAGCGCGAGCACGCATTAATTGAAAGCCTTTCTTTTCAACTATATAGGAATATCGATCTTGAAGATGTCTCTAAGTTTCCCGTAGGCTGCCCATGCGAGTGTGATCCTTCTGTTTAGTTCGCTTGTTTGATTATCTCTCAATACACGAACTTCATGGCCAAGATATACATAGCTGTCAACCCTCTCAACCTCATTATCCTCAATGTTGTTGTAAGAGCTGGGAACAAGATTTGTCATAAATTTTGATTTCTTCACGTTGATATTTAGCCCGACTCTTGCACACATCATAAATACATGAATCGCATAGAACTTTTAAAATTTAAATCTGAAATTAAATTTGGTGAATATCTGTTCTAGCATGAAGGATGCGAATTTTAAAGTAGGTGAATTATTAAAGGAAGGAATGGAACATATGGTCATATCAGTTTTGAGAAGTTTTGGGAGCGAATAGAGTTTGGGAAGAGTTGGTAAGAATGAGGAAGAAATATTATGAGTATTAAGATGGTATCTCCAGTTTTCCAGATATCGAATCGATTCTTTTGTAATTTCTTTTAGATGGTAGGCAATAATTGTGAAACGTATTTTTGTTTATCTGAAAGTTATTCTAATATCTTGGATTCGCTTATTCGTAAATTGTGTAATTTAATGTTTTTTTCCTCCTATATTCAATTCTTTAGATTGTGGGATTGTGATTGGTAGCTTGTGATTACGATATCAAAAGTTTTCTTAACTGATGTTAAATGCTATTCTGCAGCAATTTCCGGTTTCTAATTCACAAAAATTGTTAATCTTGTTAAGCACAAATTCGCACAAGTTATTAGTTTCAATTGTTAATCCGTAAAGCTTGCTAATATCAGAGAGTAATTCATAGAAGTGCAAATATATTCATATGTACCCGTACCGTGAAGAACAAAGGTATAAATCTTCTATCTTCAAAAGGTCGCTGCGAGATGTTGGTACAATTAACAACGCTTTTGTCATTTTTATTAAAATTGTAGTACTGCTTGGGAGTATGCTGATTTTGCTTTTAGTGAAATTGTGGAAAACAGTTTGCTTCATTTATTTAAAGAAAATGTTTCTTGACTGTTGAAAGTAGGATCATGTGGTGTCGTTGACAAAAGTGGCAAACAAAATACTTTAAGGATTTCAGACCTAGAACTGTACCTCCGATACTATTTAAAATTCATAATATAATGTTCCTCCTGATAAGTAATCTGACTATAGATGTGAGGCATTACCTAAGATCACTGTTGTCGAACACTGTCTAAGGAAATTGTATTTTGTCAAGTTTATTTAATTTCGATAGGACATTTGATGCCATAAATCAGGAAGTATTATTATCATTATTACGTTGTGTTGGACTTGAGTGGGTGATAAGGATATTTTCAACAATTTTTTGATTTATAAAAGTTAGTATGTACGAGTCACTCACAACGGTGTTGTTGCTACTGATGCTCGGATTGTTTGTACGCTGTTTGTTTGCTATTTGCCTCCTACATTCACTTTACCTTTATGCATGCTCAAACCGGTGTTGTGTCCAACAACAATCGTGTTTGAGCAAGATTACGCGATCAAAACATTCGGTCCTTGAGGAAGCTTTGAGGGGAATTGATGCATCAAAAGGAACGGTAGCGGATGGTATTTCTGCCTTCATAATTAAAACATCGAGGATAACTGGAACTGCTTAAAAATATGATATTAAGGAAGAAGATTCTGTGGTGGGCAGAAGAGGTATGGAAGAACTATCTGGAAAAAAAATCAAAAAAGTTATAATAATTACCAAAGAGAAAGGAAGAACACAAAGATAATGATAACTACTGCCAAAAATAAACAGTGGAATAACTTTGGAGAGAAGATAGAAAAGAGTTGCGCAGAAAACCTGAAAGTATTCTATCAAATACTGAACTCCTTACGAACTGAAAAGAGACAAAATGTACAAATTATTAAAGATAAGAAGGGCGAAGTATGGAAGGAGAAAAATAAAATGATGGAAGTATTACGAAGAGTTCCCGAAGAAAGCACAAGAAACAAAGAAACGGAAGAGGAAGGGATACGCAAGAAAGAATTACAAAGAGTTAAAAAATGAAAAGGTGGCATAAAATAACATCGGAAATTAGCTACTTCACGTGTATAATACGGTATGAAGAGAAGAAACACTACCAGCAGACTGTGGGAAAAGCGAAAGTTTCTAGTTTTAGTTTATTTCTAACATTCCTTAAATTATGAGCCATCCTCGGAAACATGTTGGGAAATTCTTCTTTTTAAAAAGGCTGAATATAGGATCTTGCAATAAGCTAAGTCTTCCAATACTAGCTCTATCCACAAATATATATAAATAATTTCTTGTATTAAGATCTAAGAAATTAAAAATAGAAACGATTATGTATAAAACTCAGGATTAAGATAGATATAATGAAAATGGTAAAAGTTGCGGTCGAGAGCAAAATGTTGCGATACACCCACTATATTTTAAACTCTATGGATGACTCTTTTCAGGTTGACTCCATTTACATTCATTTTAGTAAGGCTTTCGACCGAATCGATCATATGCTTCTTTCAAAACTTCGAATGTTTGGTATTGATGAACATCTTGTGCATCGGTTTGTCTCTTATACACGTGGAAGAGCTTTGAACACAGCATGATTGTTACCGGTGTACGACAAGGGAAGACATTTAGGATTTCTTCAGTTTAATATTTCTATTTCTAATATTTTTAATATTTTATTTTTAAGCGTGCGTCTCTTAAGACGACTAAGTCCGATTGTTTCTAGTTCTATGTCTAGTGTTAGTGCTAGTGCTAATATTAGTTCTAGTTTTAGTTGTTCCGCTAATATCTTCTGATGCAAGTGGGTTGGGTTATATGCATTTAATACAAAAAAGTAAATAATGAAATTTGGATAACAAATTTTAACTTTAATAATCTCTAATTCAAATTTCAAACGAAGGAGAGGCAGGCCAAGGATACAACGGGAGGATGGAGTGGAAGAGATAGTGCCCAAGAGAGGAGGAAGTGTGCAGGAAGTGAAGAATATGTGATGGCATCTACGGGAAATGATAAAGAAGAATTTTTTGTCAGCCGATCGTTTCTATTGGTAATTGCAGACTCAAAGTCCGCCGCGTGTGGATGTTAAATACACACTGTCTATAAATCTGTTGTGCTAGTAAACAATACTATGCGCTTACAGAACACATTTTGTTTGACTAATCTACATCTCAAGATCAAAGACTATGCATGTTAGAAATGACCTCAAGCTAGGATTCAAGGTCACGAAAGTTGCATTCTGGATTTTAGTAAATCTTTAAGCTGGCTGATACAGCTAAGCGTGTGTATTGGGAGGATGTACAATAAAGACCGAAATAACTCGTGAATTGTTAATAAATATGCATATAATAAATGAAAATATTACTTACCTTATTAAAAACCTGTAATAATTTTAATAAAAGGAGAAGAAGAAAGGTGAAAAAAAAAACGAATAATCACTTCTATAAGACTATATGTATATACAATTTACACATTCGTATTCGAATCAACTTAAATGATAAAAGCGTTTCTTTCACTATGTACAAATGATTCGATAAAAATATCAAACGGTATCTCGTAAAATAGTTATGATGAATAGTACATTATACAGAAGACCAAAAGAGTTCTATTTCCATAAAGTATTAAAATTCCATAATTATCACGTATTAAATATCAATATTTTAGAGTTTAGACCAATATTTCTTTCATTCGACCTGAATAGGTCCAATGAAACTTATTTCCTGAGAATTTTAACACTTTACGATGTATACGTTCTTAAAATCTAAACAGACATTTTTTAATCTTGTAAAATTATTAAAATATTATAAACAATATATTAACCTTCGAGCGTAAATACAAGTGAAAATACAAAATATCGTAGCGATATATCATTTTCTATTAATTATCGTTGCGATACATCGAGAAAGAAATTTTTTTAAAGATATTTAAAGCAAAACATTTTTTTATAAGTAAATGAGAATTAAAAAAGGGCAAAATTCACTTAAAATTGACGACTAAATAACATTGCAAAAGAAAATGTTGTATTAACTCATCATCTTTTTTTCTTTTTGTAAAATTAATTTTCTTTTCTTAGTGCCTGAAATTCGTTGATCGACTCGCTTTTTGACGGTTAATACACACTTTCTAAATACTTTCTTTAAGAAGAGTACAAAACTCTTTTAATATTGCATATTTACATAACGACATAACCACTGAATCAATTTATGATGGACGTAAATACAAAACGTTTATAAAATTAATTTGCCTACTAATAACTACATTGCTGTCGTTTTAGTTTGTACAGATTTTTTTCTTTTTCAGATTAATGATATTTTATTAATCATGTTTATATTTAAACAAAAATGATGCAAGTTTACACGATTTTAGACACAAAATGTGTTTTTAAGGTAATTTTTGACACTGATTGCGAATTTTCCCAAGTTAAAAATTGCTAATAATAATCTATCTTAAAAATTTGATTTGATGAATTCATAACCAGTCCAAAAACTACGAAAAAATAAATTCTTTCTTTTTGTGTCCTTATGTTTGTAAACCTGCCTATTACACATCCAATAATAAGCTTTTTTTGGATGATTTTTATTTATTTTATTTGTAATCAAATTTCACATCATCAGACGTAAATAACTTGTATAGAAAAAAAATTATCCGCGTTTATTTCTGGTCTGATATGCTCCATCAAAAAAACTATCATTTCGATCAATTTCTCGACGATATCTTTTGTACTTTTGCGCCGCCGTTCGCACGTTTAACCACTAGACCATTTGATTCATATAATCAAGACTACAATCAGTATGACGCGGACTGAAATTTTGGTGATGAGATGGAGCTGTTAATGGATAACCGGTCATTTGATACGATGCGCCCATATGATTCGGAACTTGCATTTGATTTTGCGCATTCGGTTGATTAAAATATTCCATTTGACTGTAATACGCCTGACTATAATTCTGACCGTAATAATGATGCGGGGAACTATTGTGGGTGTTATTAAATTGCCAATTGAAACTGTTATAGGAATCATGTTGGTATGACAGCGGAGGATTGCTCGATGGGGAAGGCATCGGCGGAGAAGGGGTCGTTATAACACTACTTGAACTACCAATTGGAGTTAAATTGCCGTTTGTACGATAATTCGTCGAGATTTGTGGTGATTCTCGCTTAACATTTACCGTCGTTGGAGATCTGGACGTTGATGGAGTTGGAAGTGAAGATGCATTTTGCGGGGTCGTACTTTGTTGTTGTTGCTGAGTGGACGTCGTGATGCTTGGAGACATTTTCCCGGCTTTCGCAGTTTTCGTTGGAGAGGTTGGTCCTCTCGTTGTTGGTTTTTGTTGTCGCTGTTGTAGTTGTTGGCGACATTTCGCACGGCGATTCTTAAACCATACCTAAAACAAAAACAATAAAAATTAAAATAAACAAATAAATCCAAAGTGATATGAATTGAAAATTTATTAAAAATACACAAGTTTTTAGAAATTCATGTATTCATTTTGCGGTGTCTCTTTATTTATTTGCTATTTAATATTCTATGAAGCAAATATGCATAGTTAAACAATCCGTAAATAAATAAATGTATAAATAAAATATCAGATTTCAATTGATGGCTTTTATTACTTCCGAACGAAAACTCGATCATTCCATTTATTTTTAAATTATTATTATATTATTACACAAATATTAAGTATTGTAAACTTTTATGATGATTTGTATTAATTCGTATTAGAAAAAAATCACAAAAACTTCACAGATTGTGAGTTAACTATCAAAAGTAAATCGTACCTTTAACAAACTCAAATGTTATACGCATCGTATTTTATTCAATAAAGGGAAGGGTCGAAACCGTCATCATAATGGTAACGTGGAGGCAGTCCGTGGGGTTAGTTTCCATTAGTTCAGGGATTATTTGGGGTAAAACGTCCCGCCCCTCATGCTTTCACGCGAAACGACGGCATTGTGCGAAACGGTAACAATTTTTCGTACGGGGTGGAAGCCCTCGTGAAATCTAATGGAAACTGATCGCAAGAGGGGTGAAAAGGGGACGTGAAACGTGCGCGCCCCGAGAATTATTAGGTGGTGGTGATGGGTGCTGGATGTGATTTTAATGCTAATTTTCAGCCCGGCCTCGCATTATGTCCCCGGAGTCACCCTTAACGGATTATTTCCGCGTATGAATGTATGGATGTGTGAGTGTGAAAGGATACTATATGAATAGATTGATTTCATTTTCATATAGGTATACGATTATTGATAATATTGTTAAATTTAATGATTTAGTTTCAATCCGAGCTTAAATTGAATAAAGTTTAATAGAAATATGTTATTTAAATTATAGCCATAATTTTTGATTAATGTTGTTGTTGTTTGTTGTGGTGTCAGAGAAATATTGGGAAAAATATTTTAAACAAGTGTAGTACTCTTAGTGTAGTAGATAACTCATGTTAGTGAACCTGTAAACACAAGAACTATTATAGGACCAGAGAAAAACTAATCCAAAACACCAAGTGGTACCCGACAAGGTAGTCCGATTTCTAATCAACTTTAAATATAGACTTCTATGACCAGAACATAGCTATCTTTATTTCAAAAATTAAATGCATAGTGGTAACACTACAAGATACTGTTTTTCTACAGAATTTATGTATATAGAAATTGCGCAAAATATGTAAATTGCGAATATACAAGATCAGCATCCACCCATTAATGGCTTACAGCATTGAAATATGCGAAGATACAAACAAAATTAAGAGCGTGTTAAGACTAGCAAAAATGAAGATCCTGAGAACAATTTAAAACAAGGCCTCATGAGACCCAGTAGAAACAGAGGTCTAGAGAGAGAAAGAAAGAAAGTTTTTCAGTCTACGATAGCTGAATTACTCATTATGATAATTTTGAAACCGAAAAAATCTTTATAGATAGCTAATATAGATCTGCAGTTGTTTTATTTAAGTTCGGGAATTGTCTAACACTGTTACAGATTCCTAAAAAGGTTATGACTACATATTAATACAAAATCAGAATTTTATAATTTTTTGTAATAACGCTATAAATCTGATTTATTTCATCAATATGGTATCTGCAAGATCCCACGGGGTTAAAGTTCAGACTTCAGAGTTTTTGATCGATGTGAAAAACGTTCTACCTCAATTTTATGCAAGATGATGTTATGCATCCTGACGATATAGCAATCACAACTGAAGACATAAAATTTATTCTACAGCTTAAATAACTTTGCCTTTACGCTTTCAAAATTAGTTAGTTTCTAAATAGATTAGCTCGGAAAACAGGGCGTCTACAATAAAAAAGCATATCGGCGAAATCTGCCAGAGTCAAAATCTCATCAAGCTGTTTCATAACCAGCCTATATGCTAATGCCTAAAAACTTCGTTCAGGACATTCATCATTTCTTTTTATTTCTTCCCTTTGATTTTGTAGATAACCAAACTTAATATATTTTTATATTTTTGATCTTCGTCTCACGCAACAGATTTTGTGATTTATTTAAAGAAATCTCTTAATAAAGTCAAGTGTACTCTAATTATCTCTATTAGCCGCTTTATAAACTTATGTGAAATTTATTTGTATAATTGAGTCTATAAGCAAGAATTGATTGTAAACGACGAAGCCGATCAGTTTCCAGAAGAAGAATCATGTAGTACAGTAAGTGATGTGGAACCAGAAATTCATGATAGTGAACCGGATATATTTACTGTCTCAGAATCAGATAAAGGAAATGATAAACGAGATGAAATGGTCTGTACCCGCATATGGAGATTTATTGCGCCAAACTGTGCTGAACTTTCACAGTGTGTTTGTGAAAGCGGCTCTTTGACAAACAATAATCGAAATGTAAAATCTATGCAAGTATGTATCAAATTAGTTACGATGACCGAAAATATCAAAAATTGAAACACATACCAATCAAGAAAAAAAATAGATTTCATTGAACTCCAAGCATTGGTAAGATTTTTATTGCTAATTGGAAGATTTAGAGAATATCATGAAAACTTTTGACAAATCTTTTGAGGTTCAGCAAATTCGATCATATGTAATCCCGAGCCGAAAGAAAAAATGCACATAAAATAGCAGCTATAGGAAAAATAATAGATATGTTTGGGGCAAGTCTGAATCAAATCTTACGAGATGTCTAGTTCTGGTACTGTGGATGAATAACTAGTAACATATCGTGAATGTTGTCCTTACAAAGTTTAATTTCATACACTTTAATTATAATTTGCATGATCAAAAATCCTGAATGGAAATCCAACAGTTCGATGAAACATAAACGAAAAGTATTTGTTGTGAAATTTTGAAAAGATTTCGTTGTTTGCAAAAAATATTGAGCGATGAGCACAAAGGTTCGAAAACAAAGCTATAATATTACACAAACTTATAGCAGAAGCATTTGAAGCTTACAATAGAACAATAAGAACAAGGAGCAGACTCTACCAACAATTTCAAAACAATTATGTTGTCATATTTGTATTGGAAACAACAATAAATATAGAAAAAATGTGCACAATCTTATAATTCTATATATAATAAATAATAATCATGCGACTCCTACAACAATTTTATGTGCGGATTGTTCTTCAGCAAATAAACTTATTCCTATCTAGGCCTCCTACCTATTGTATCCAGACATTCATCATCCTAGGGTTAATGCAAAAAGTGTATTTCTTCGAAATTGAGTTTCTGCACGGCTTGAGTTAAAGTCTGATAAAGATAGATTAGGACGAGCACGTGCATACATATCAAAGCAATTTGAGGAAGCGTGCAAGAATGCTAAGATATGGTAACTTATCCCATTCATGAATCAAACCAACGATGACTTTTTTGATGTTTCAAGTTATTTATAGTGGGCTAACTAACACAACATTCCATTTCTTGATCAATTTGGGACATTTGTTCCAAATCACAATAATTGTACCCGATTTGAGTTTAACATCAGTTAAGGTTAATTCGATAGTTTAATTCAAATTTAGTTGTGCCCACGTGATTTCGATGTAAAGCTATGATTTAGACATTTCAAACCTTTTCATACTTCGGTCAGATTTAGTAGACTCAGGAGAATTTTATGAATAAAAAACTATGAAACCATGAAAATATTGGAAATAGGGGAATAAAGAAGAAAAAGATAAAGATAAAGAAATATTATATAAGCAAAACTAAAAAACATGCAGAGCTTATCTCGGTACTCGAAGGCAAGATGTTGCAGTCAGACAGCATAGAACAGTTCCAAAATAAATGTTCTAACATTTTATTTTCCATTTTTCCACGTTATAAAATATTTCTGCTTAATTTTCAGTTTGTTTCCATATCCTTTGTGAAATATTTTAGTTATTTTTGAATGGATATTAACTAATTTCAGTCTCATCATGTTTTTCATGTTCTTATATTCGTGTTTGTTTTCCTATATTCAATCTGTATTAGTATTTTTATCTACATTCCCTTCTATTCACTTTTCCGTAGAGTGGTTGGGTTGTTATTTGTTCAGGCCAACAATACACAATAAAATAGTTACAACAAAAAAGAATTAGAAGAACACTACGCTGAACGTTGGCCCGAAAGGGTTATCGATCGTAGTCCTTCTACCCACTGTATGATTTTTGACATATAGTAGATGATGACATTCAGCAATATTCAAACATTTAAACCATAAATGGGAATTGAATTGGACTTGAAACAAAAATAAAACTTCTTTGATACCAATGATTCTAATTCGTTAGATGTTTCTTTTATCATTGATGTTCAATACTAATTTCTAAAATAATTATTATTTTCTTGGTCCAGCTTTGCTTATATTTTGGACAACTCCCCTTATTGACACCATGTCGCCCACAACCAACATGTCTCACCACAAATAAAGCAAAAACACATCAAATAAGGATACACCCCAGGAGAATTCATCACAATCCCTGCATTAACACCACACAGGCGAAACCTAACCTGCTTCTTCAAATTGTCTACAAAATTAATTCACCCAGTACTAAGTAAATTTAACAATCACAAAGGATATTTCAGAATTCATACTTACTTGAAGAAATTAAGCGGTTTGAAATTCCTCATGTGGAATTCTCTCTCATTAATCCTATTTATTAACCAATGACATCCTTGAGCTATTGTCCTTGTTATTAGATGTTAAGAGAATTAGGACAACAACAAATTAAATCTAATTGATTTGATGAAGAGAACCAATTTGATTAATTTTGTGAACGTGTAAAATTATGAAATTTCCTATTATAATCAAAAATGTAATATGGAGAGAATTATTATTACCAAATTGCTGTTACTGCTTTTTTTTTATTGAAGAGTGATACTACGTGGTTTCCCTATAAGTACACACTGCGTATATTTGAAGGGACGGAACAATTCCTCGGTTCACAATAGAAAAGGGGCGGCTTGTTTGCTAACCGCCCCGGTAATGATTCAATTTGATGGCTTGTTAGCCTTTTCACAGGACCACATCTGCCGTCATTTCGACAACGAGACGTCTGCAATCTTGCACGTTCGTCACACACCAGGAACTTAAATAACGAACATCAACCAATAACAAAAAAAATTACAATAAATTTTTTTAAGAAGTAGTTATGATGTAACTAAATTAAAATCTTGGTTATAAATTTCAACGTTACAATATATCATATCAAGGCGTGTGTCGTTATGGGTGTAGATCATATCTAAAACGAGTTTAATAAAGCATACCGAGGTTGTTTTGTAATCGTATCTCGTAATTGAGAAAGAAAATATCGTTTGCAGATTTCAATTATAGAAGTTGAAACTACCTAAATTAGAAACGCCATTCAAATTCTTAAGCAATACAAGGTAAAGTTATTTGGCTATAAAGGTTATCGGGTACAAATAAATATTTTAATTATAAAATTGAATAATAATTATTAAATATTTTTACTTACTTGTACTCTTGATTCCGGTAAACTGATTTTAACAGCAACTTCTTCGCGCATAAAAATGTCAGGATACCGAGTTTTCGCGAAAAGATCTTCCAACAAATCAAGTTGAGGTCTCGTAAACGTCGTTCTTTCTCGGCGTTGTTTTCTAGGGTTGACTCCTGGAAAATAATTACAGACTTCGATTTACGCTCTTGTAGAAGCTTTACGTCGGACAAAATCAATTTGCTAACTACACCATTTTTATCTGTTCGAATACACACCGAGATTCTTTTTATGATTATTATTATATTGATTCGATTTTTATTGTATAATGTTTGATGGTTACACGATCTGTATGTATAGAGGATAGCGGACGACCGTTTTCGACGGTCGTTTAAATTAAAAGCTCGAAAGCTGGTTCCACGGCGTCGCTTCGTAAATGGTTAAATTGTGTTTCGAAATTGGGTGTCAGCCACAAGTGTCGAATCTCACGCGCACCCGCCCGTAACGTGCGAAAACAAGGGTGTTTCTCCGTTGCTCTGTACCGCTCTCGCCAAATTGAATTTATTTTGCCCCCCTCCCCTCGGGGGAAACCGAATACATTAGCGGAAGTGTCTTCGCACTCGCGGTTGATTACGTAATTGGAACCGAGATTATTTTTGAAAGGGGATGGACAAAATAAACTTTTCAAAATAAGTTACACAAGAACAATATAACACATTTCAGTTTTTTGTAGAGGATAATAAATTGTTTGCTTAATTAAAAAATTTCAAATAAATCTTTTTATATTGTATGCAGTGATATGATATATTTGTAACAATGTGTTGTAACATTTGTTAATGAGGTGGAACTAAAACAAGTACGCAAATTAATTTTGCAATTCTAAGGCGTCTTAAGTTAAAATTGACACTGAGAAACCAATATCAATTTGGCAATATGGTAACCAAATCTTCTTTTTGCTTTAATATGACGCAAAATAGCCAAAAGATTGATCTGAGACACAAAGAAACAAAGTCTGTGGATGATTTAGTAGAAAAGAAAACTGGTCGATGCAGTTCTGTCGTGATTAATAACACCTTAACATCGTGGCAAAAAACTTTTATGCTTTGGTCCGAATTCTGCAACATGCCCAAACTCTTTACCAAATATCAAATTCATTCTCAACCAGGGTTTTGGTGGTGACCTGTTTTAAATAAAGAAAGGTTACGAAAAAGTAATTGCTTATTTCAGCAAGATATAATAAATTATTGTATAACCAGGATAAAATTGTTGTCTGCTATCAAACCCCTCGAGTTCTGAGCTATTTTTACATTTATCCAGGAAGCTCTTATTGAAGACAGAAGATGCAGCAGTGCACTCGCACTTAGATTTAATATAATAATCATGCTTAATGAATATGTCTACAAGATCATGGCCTGTTGAATGAAGACACTAATCAAGTCAAAAGAATAAAATTTTAGGCGCCCATACTGGTCAACAAATTTTAGATAATTGAGCCCAAACCATAAAATGGGTTTTAAGTTAATTACACAAAAAAGACGAAGACCTATGAGGAACAAATTATTACCTCCAACGCAACATTACCAGACTTAATAGAGTTATAAGTAGAAATAATAAGAAATATAAGCCATTAAGACATTGTGTCTTCAATTTTTGTGATTTAGGGACGTGATGGATTTGTCAGAAGTCTAAGTCAAGAGTTTTTAAATAATTTCAACCATATTAAGCTATTACTTCTATATTCTTCTGTGGCTGTGTTAAGAGAATACATAAGAAATTCACTATATTGTAAAGGTACGTCGGAGATAAGTCATGAATAGTCATATGATAAGCTTATACAACGCTAGATTGCTTTTTGAAACACAAACCATCGTTGATCGAAAACATTCAATGATGATCTTGCTTATGCTTTAAAACTGTAATTTTCGTAAAAAGAGTCGCAAGAGAATCGACGAGTTTGTTCTGCAATTTAGAAGTTTGAAGATTTTAGAGGAGGAATTGTTGCTACGGGATCTCCAAAAGAATGTCCAACATGTAAAATCAGAAATTGTGCATACATTCTGCGTAAAGATTAACGACGATGAGTCATTTTTAGTTTTGCAACCCGATTCATGTACATAATTATATAGAAAATTAAGTTCCATTTATAAATCAGTTTGCAGAAACATTCAAATATTTCAATGCACTCAGACTTTAACTAGTCAGCAAATCGATTTTAAAATCTGTTAAAATAAGATCTTTGAAGGATAAGTCAAGTACATAATTATATGGAAATTGAAGTTTAAGGTTGGAAATCACGATGCAAAATGATTCAAACTGAATCCAAAATCTGAGTGCATTCCGGCATTAATTTTAGTCAACGAATAGATTTTGAAACCAACTTTAATAAGATTTGAGTACCTTTAGAGGATTCAAGTACAAAATTCTATAAAAATCTGAAGTTAATGTTTAGAAATCACTTTGCAGAAAGATTGAAATGGCGGACTGTATTCAGATTTTAACCAGTAAAAAAATTTCAAATAAGTTTTAAGGAAGATTTGAGTATGTAATAATAACATTTTTGATAACATTTCAAAAGCGTTGTCTATGATACAGTCATAAATGCCTTATATGAATTATCTAGCTTGGATACATTACTACATCATTAACCACTTTTGAGCAGAACAAAAACAGTAATTCTATTTATTAGAACATGGATTAAGTGTTTTATTTAAAATTTGCATCTTATTCTTTTAACAAAAGCTTATGTTTGATATAATTGGAGGAAGAAATAAACAATAAAAATATATAACATCAAATAAGTAGTATTAGGTCTTTTGCTAATAATTAAAATTATTCCTAGTACATATTGTAAGGAAAATTTTCTCGTTGCAAACAATTCAGCAATGAATTTATGATATGAACTCTCAATAGCTTTTTCTTGAAATCTACAATAAAAAAGTACAGTAAACTTTTTTATTGTGTTGCGCTGAAATATTGAACTCAAAATTTTCTGAAATCTCTTCATTATGCAATTATGGGATAAATCTGAGAGAAACATTTAGGTAAATTGTTGCGAGTTGTTTCTACTACAATGACTGATACTCGTTCATAGTTCATTGTACACCTTGGCAATATGAAACGATGTTTTTACTATGTTTTATAACTTCTCCGCTACTGTTTTAAGCCGTTTTTTTGTAATGAACTATATATAAATATTCTCTGCTGTTTGCTTTTTGCTAAATTTTGTTCTGAGGCTTCTTCATTTATCTGATGAGTACTGATATGACACAAGTATCTAATGAGTTGCAGTACTTTGGGGTTGAGCTACTTTCGAGATGAGGTTGATCTTTAGAATTAGGGAACGTAGGGAACGTATTAGGGCTTAGGGTTGTATTAATTTGGTTTATAACATTGAAATAAAAACTGTATACAAATCTTATGATAGGCGTCACTTGTAACATTACAACATTGCAGCAATTCTTTAAATATATTTTGAGTATTACTAAAGGAAATATTGGTGGCAATTTATTGAACATTTTTTATGCAACATAGTTTATATCTGTCTGGCCCCTGGATAGTCAGCACTAGTGACAGAAGATCTTTGTTACGCGGTTTGTAACTTTTTTCGTATCGTTTCGTATCGTTTCGTAATCGCGCCATCCCATACAAGTAAGGTGAAAATAAATACCACTATTAAGTCTGTTACACACAGATACAGCTTTGAGTATAACGGGTTTTCGGCTATCAACGCAACAATTTTGTATTTTAATAGGAATGTGCCCTTGAATGTTTTTCATAATCCTTTATTTGATAATCAACGTCAAATCACGAAGTTCACGAAAAACACGTTTGGAAATTGTTAACAATTACTACCGCATTTCTAAACCGGTAGTTGCAACTTTAACAGCACTTACTGTAATTTTCGTGCAGTGGATAAATTCGAGTATTCACTATTGTATGTTGCTGTACCAGTAATAGAAAGCTGGATCAGTAACGGAAAGTTCCTGACAGAAAACTAAATACTGTTTGTAGAAGACTTGATACTATTGCTGCCAGAAGATCAGGTAGAATGTGTTATATTTCAAAGTTTCGAACAATTTAGCTTTTTAAATGAATCCAATGACTGTTCGATTTTTATGATTTTCAACAATATCACATATTACCTTATCATCAGGGTGTTTCGGCCAACTGTGACTACGAACATTGTGAAATTTCAAACGCTGCATAAAGAGCAAAAAACTTGGAAATGAGTGATAGTATTGACGACGAAAATTTTCATTTAAGATATAAATTAAGTTACAGAGTTTCATGTTGGTGATATCGCTTCAATTCATTGTAATTCATTCTATATCCTATATTAACAACAATAATAGCTTTAATATGTTCTTCTTATCTATTAAAATCATTTTATTATTTCCTTTTTCTTTTGTGGATTTAGTATGTAGTTAGAAAAAATTAGACATCTTTTTAGAAATATTTTTATACAAGAACTCATTTGGTCCTATCGGATGGTAGTATTATTTATGACGACCGTCGGAGAGGATTCGGACTTTGGAGCGTTTCCCCCGGTTTGGGGGAATGCCACTGAAGGGCGCTGAGCGGATTATGGGGGCGGTAAAGGGCGGAACCCGTCGTCATAGTTACCAAACGAACACGGGGCACCGCTTATTTTCTGGTGATGTGTTCTCATCCCCCTAGGGAATCTACCCAGAACAACTCTCCAAACCCAACCTTCATTTTTATCTGCTATTTTTCCCTTCTTTTTTTCACAACGAATTACAAACGATCAAAAATTGAAAATAAAAATTACGAAGAATGAACTTTTCAATTTTTTCGTCTTTTACGTTTTGGGAACATGACCGGGAATACAGGGGGTTTCTCATCACCCTAGAAAAACGCAATAAAACGCACCCCTACAAAATAGACTCTTTTGACACCACACCGCCGGTAAACGCGTTCATTGGCCAGCTGCGATTTCCCATAACGCGCACCACGTTTCCGATTCCATTTGGCAGCTCTTCTAGCGTGAAAACAAATCCTCGCATATTTTATCGCTCTCTCGCAGCTTCCCCCTTCTTCGTTTCCTTCAAGTCGTCCCCTTTTTTCGGGAACCAAACCTTGCTTCTGTTCCCGTTTTGGACGAATTGCGATTAGAAAATGGCTCAGTCATTCGCGTTTGCTTTCTATTTAAGTCTACTAAACCGAACGAACGAAAAGGGAAACGTCGGTTGAGAAAGAAAAACTTGGAGGTTGAAATGAATGTTTACTCTATGGTGTGTACGTTAATGGGGTTTGCAAAAAGGGGGTGAACGGATTAGAACAATCGTAAATATTTTCTTTTGATTAGATTAGTTGGGACTGTGAATAATGTTAAGTCATTTGATTTATTAAAACGATCACAAGGACAAAATTTAAGATTTAAAACGATCGTTATTATTAATTAGGAATTATGCTGAAGAGAATGGTAAAAAGTTTAGCTGGATACGAGATCGATTAAAGCTTTATACCCTTTCAATTAGAATGTAAAATAAGGTAGTGTTAATGGTGACGCTATAGAATTATTTACTGAAACCCGATTTAACCAAATGTAGAATATCGAACGGAGTAAATGACTGTTTACAAAGAAAACGTTTTAATGGATCATTATACGAGATGGATTTAAGCTTTACACAATTAAAATAATTTCCAGTGAAGGTGAAAGATATTTAATTTTCTTAATTGACGTTAAGAAATTTAAATTAAATAAATTAATTTATAACAGATAATGATTTGCAATAAGAGTCGTTATTATCCGTTCGAAATCCTTGTAGAGATATTTCTAGATTTTTAATTTTTAGTTTCAAAAATAAATTAAATCCTATATCGAATGTAGGTATGAAGTAAATAACGATTGTTAGTATAAGGTAACATTAAACTAATTGAATTGTTCGATGTACGTGCGACGATGATGAAGAAACATCACGTGGCGAGGTCACCGAGGGGTTGACAGCGGCCGCCGAGGAAAATCTATAAGGGAAGCCTGATAAAAAGGACAGACAGACGAGTTTCGATCCTCGAAGGGCTTCTTTTTGTCATCTATCCGATCGCGCGGTGTGCCTTTTTGAAAGTAAAAACGAACCACCCTCTTTTTTCTTGAATCTTTTCTACTTTCAAAATCCGAGAAACATCCCCCGGGAGTATTCTCCGACGGTAGTAATAAAATATAGAGACGTTCGTGGCTAATAGGTCTGCAAATACTGCCGGGTTCCTATGCCTCTACAAAGGGGACGTGTTCTGTGGAGGGTTTGTTAACGTAACCGGAGCCTTCGGCAAATTTACGTGCTGGGTAAACATTTTCACTTTAACGTGTATGTATAGAGAGAGGGTCAATGATATATTGTTGTTTTGAATTAGGGTTGCTACATAAAAATTAAAGAGAATATGTTTAAAAAAAATAAATTCTATATTTGCGTGATAATGTTTTATACAGCGCATGGTGTACATCAATAAAAATATATCGGAAATAAAAATAATTCGAATTCATTTATTATTTGAATCGGAACAAATTCGTTACGTATTTCGATTTCAAATATTATTGAAACCTACAAAGGTAGTAAATATGTTTAAAAATTTATAAACACGTGTCGGTTAATATTAATAATAAAGATAAAAATATGTTTTGTATTGGATTTAGTAATGTGTTAGGAAACATTATTATTTGTTGTAATGTATTTTTCGTTACAATAGGATCTTTAAAGAAATGTATTTCGAACAGATGTTAAAATGTGCAATTGACGTTCATACAAGATTCAAGACTTACCTTGCGCAAATGGTAGCGCCGCCTCGATGGGTCTCGAGATGCCGAAGTGGCCAAGCCCGGGAACGGGCATTCCCCCCAGGCCTGGTCCGAGACCGGTGCCGAGACCAGCGTGGGCTGGCAGGTGGCCGTGGGGGGCTCCCGAGGGCCTAAGATAGCCGGCCATGTTCATGTGACTAGAGACAAACAGACCGGAATTGGATCCGGCTGTCGGGGTGTGATCGGACGACGTGGGAGACGTGATGCTTGGATTTGGAATCACTGAAAACAACAAAAAATAAAAAAATTAAATTATAATTGCTAAATAGAAAAATAAAATAACTTAACACAATTACAGTCACTAAGAAGTATTACAGAAGATTATATTAATAATCGCAACATTTTTTATGGTTTGGTTTTGCTTCAACATCTTATAATATAATTTCTTCAGCACTGCAAATAAATCTATCGCAAACTATTATCTTTGTTGCAGTAAGCATTCGTATAGCAAAGCAAATATGTGGCAGTAATGGAAGGTATTGTGTAAATAGTCAGTCGACCTAAGAAAGCAGAACGTACAACAGAATGGAAGCTCAAACAGAGAGAATCAATATTCATGTATATAAAGACGAAATGTTTATGTATGAAATAGTACGACACTCAGAAATTGACTGAACCAACAATAAGATAAGCCAATGGGAGAAACATGAAAAATGGTATAAAATATGATACACAATCATGCTAAATTCCCATGAATTCAGTACAATTTTAGGATCAAAGATAACATATTTACCCAACGTTCTTTGTAGATCTTGTTAATGAATTGATTGTTAACGGATCGTATGATACACCTCGCTCAACAAATTTCAACGATCAAATAGAAAAATAGCCGCTGTAGCTAAAACACTAAACTCTGTCAAGATAATATAATTATGGAAAGTTCTATAAAACCAAAGACCTCTAGTCCGTGGTCCTTAACCAAGTGGTCAAGGGGTGATAAGAATCACCACGAAGATTGCAACCCAAACCAACCCAACTCAAAAATGGAATAAAATATAAATCACAAATTGAGAACACATAACATTGTGAGAGAAATGAAAAGTATGAATTTTTTTTAACAATCTTCCAATTTTCATATTTTTGACAAATTCTCTATATTGATGCATCTGGGAGCAAAATATTACAGAGCATTGTGTTAAGGGTACAATTTGTTACAACTTTTGTTGTAAAAGTTTTTCTGTATCATGCTCCGGATACCGATTTTTTTGAACATTCTTCTAATGTTCATATTTTTCAAAAATTCTCTACTTTGATGTATCTGGGAGCAAAAATGTTACAGAACATTGTGTTAAGGGTACAATTTGTTACAACTTTTGTTGTAAAAATTTTTCTGTATCATGCTCCGGATACCGATTTTTTTAACATTTCTAATTCACATATTTTTGAAAAATTCTCTATAATGATGCATCTGGGAGCAAAAATGTTACAGAGCATTGTGTTAAAGGAACAATTTGCTACACCTTTTGTTCTAAAAGTTTGTCTGCATCATGCTCCGGATACCGATTTTTATTAACACTTTTCTAATTTTCATATTTTTGAAAAATTCTCTACATTGATGCATCTGGGAGCAAAAATGTGCATAAAAGAATTCATGGAGTTAGTGAAGTTATATGGCCAATATTGACTGGACACTTTGCTGAAATTATTGCCAACCTTAATAGAGAAGGTGCTTTAATAAGAAGATATGGACACTCATGCGAATCAACATCTGAGGTATGTCTAATTGCGAAATAGGTTTAATCGTCGGAAATTAATTACTGAATTACCCAAAATCGACTGTTTGTCTATGTTATTTAGAAATTTGTCGGAAATTGTCGGAATGATTCCCGAGTCGGCAGACCCACAAAACTGGGAGATAGGAACCGGCGAGTTCTATTCAGAGTAATTCAAAAACACTGCACCCAACAGATGGACCATATACGCCAGAATTTTCCAGCATAACTGCTTGACTTTAATGGTCGTGGTGCCGCCCGTAATCTTTTGATCACTAAGTCTAACCGAGATCAGTGGAAACACGTTTTCGGGAGCGACGAATCAAGATTCACCCTCTACCGTTCGAATGGCCCAAGTTATCCAGGCAAGTTCGGCGGAGATGGAATTATGTTCTGGGAATGTTTCTGGGGAAGATAGCCAGGTAACCCTTGGTTCCAATTCGTGGTAAGATCAACGGCGACACCTATTGCACAATTTTAGATATCAATTTTCTTCCTACATTATGGTAGTTTTATGGAGGTGACCCATAATACTTTCAGGACGATAACGCTTGCTGTTATGTTACGATATCAGAATGTCTAAAGCCCAGGCTTGTACCCCATCGAAAATCACTAAAACGAATCTCAGTGTGTGACAATCATCTAAAATTAGTGAAAAAACTTGTGTGTCTTCTCCAAGTCGAGTTGAAAAAAGCAGCAGCCATCATACATGGTGGAAGGCGGAAGTTAATATCTGTGATCTATAAAATATGTCCAAACACTTATTGGTAGATTGTATGTAACAGCAGACATAAATCTCAGTGCAGATTGTGTAGAATTTTTTAATAGGATATATCAGAAGGGTTTACTCATATTCAAATAATTACTTTGCGATATAACTCCCAAAAATACAATTTTATCTTCAATTGTTCATCTTTGCGGCATACTTCCAGATTACATCTTCAAATATAAGACACTACCAATAAAACATTTAGTTGTATCAAACTTAAATTTTTCTCCAAACGTATACTTTTCATACATTAGTCTAATCTTACTTGTCTTCTCATCAGTGTTGTTTACTATATATTCTAACATATTATCAGTGAAAAACAAGATCCGTATATCCAATGAAGTATAACTTTTCGTCAAACCTAGTGTTTGCTGTAACATATAAAATTTGATGATACTTATTAGCCATTGTTCTTGACACTCGCATAGATAAGCAGATTAACGATCACTATTTTACCTTGTGTATATCTTTTTTTCTTGGTTCATGATGAACATCTAATTTTCAAATATACATATATTATTATAAATTGACATGGACTGTTTTTTTAAAATATTTGTGACTTTGTTTTAACTCTTTCAATTTGGTTGATTCAAAGTTATGTTGCAATTACTCATGTGCAATTAACTATATACTCGTATCATTAATCACGTAAAATGGTTACACAATATTATAAACCACAGCATTATACGTGCTCTTTCCAACTTATTGTTATGAATCATCATTGGATTGTTGTCAAATAGAATGTGCTTTGAGAAAAGTATACATTAGTGTTTTTGCAGTTCTGAACTTGAACTTGCAAACCTATACATGCAAACTTTATATTTTCTAGATCAAAAGTAGACAGTGACAAATATCTCTATTTATTTTAGCTAAATCCACTTCAATTCATTAGAAAATAAAAAACAACCCATATTAAAGGTATGGTAAAACCAGAAATTAAATGTTTTTGTCGCACTATAAAGCACATATTAATTATGAAAACTCTAGCCATTTCAAGTAATCATAGGGGCAGGCATATAACTATATTCAACATAACTTATTATGGTCGATATTAAGGTAATGAATTGAATAAATAATAATAATGTTACATAACAACCACATAAACCGATTAAATGACAAAATTTTAAATATTTTGCTTTAATAAAGATGATGTTTAATGTGGGTTATCAATATTACATGCATGTATCGCTTAGAACTATTAAATCCAACTAGCATACGAACCAATGAGGAGCAATGAAAGAGTTGAGCTAAATCTAAAAAAAATGGCGGAATGTGTATGGCTTAGTAATATTGCTAAGAAGCATAAGAGTATTTGTCATACTCAACAAACTTCGAGCGAAAATACAACCACAGATTTATTTCGTATGCTATTCCTCATCAGATAAACAATTTGATTTCAAAAAAAAGAACACCAAGGTTAAACCAAGTTTCAAAGTAAAAAAGAAAATGAAGCACAATTAATATTTATGTTCAATTATATACAATTAAAACATGACAAACAAGATTAGGATATTAAATAATGAAGCGCAGATACGTAGTGAGAAACAGGTCGGAAAATATATGTTTGAAATGTGTGAGTTAATAAAAAATGCGTTACATTCAACTGCAGATATAACGAACTTGTTTTTATCGATCTTCCGGTTATAAAGAACGAGACTAATAGCTACCATATAGATAATTTTAATTGTCTATAACGATCTTTGCTTACACTGAACCGATATTGAAATTTCAAATTTTGATGTATTTGTAGAGATTCAAAAATGATATTTACATCAATTTAAGATTTTATCGAGCAAAAACTCCAATTTGACACACTGTGAAGCTTTGATTTTATGGCTTCTAAGATATTTAGTGCTTCTCTAAACATTAAACAAGAACTTATCAAATCCGATCAACATTCAAACGAACTGGAAACATACATACTTCTTTTTTTATTTATATTGTCTATAACATTCAAGTTTAGCTTTAAAATTTTCCAAACAATGTTAAGGTTTAAAGTTGGAATCTGATTTCAAAATCTGCTCACTCAAATTGGTATTAAAGCATGTAATCTCCAATCATTAACATTGCTGAGTTAATGATTTACTTTATTCGTAAAGTAGAATTCTACGTGAATTGCTACATACTTCAACGTCTAACTGTAGAAGTGTTTCATGCATAATTTTAGCTAAAACAAGTTAACCAGGACTCTTTTATTTTGAACTTTACTTCAAGTAATAAAATAAATAGTTAAAGATCGAAGAATTCCAAACATATAGAGATAAAATGCCAAATAAAATATTTTAGTTCTAATAAAGTTTTGGTTTCTGCATATTAAATCGTATTTTTAAGGATATTGAAATTAGAAGATGATGACCAGAAATACTTGGCAAAAGATTCTTTTACGTATTCCTACCTGCAAAAGAAAACAGTAATGATAGAAGAAGAAAACAGTTTATCAGTAAGACACAAGTTGTTATTAAGATTACTATGTCACTCACAGAAGATATATAGCTTCATTATACTGAAAGTTAAAATGTGACAAAATATGTTACATCAACCATAAAATATTTTTTAGGCACAAACAATTTCTTGAAAGGATTAATCAGAATTGCTTCATACTGTTATCGCATGATGCGGATTTCAACAGCATAAAAATAGCAACTTAAACATGTTTTATAAAAACATGGAACGAAGAAAGTGAGATGGTGTTATTTCAACAATAGCATTTGTGCATTATTATAAACACATTTTGTAATGTT